TTATATAACTGACTTAATTGAATTTATTGCTTGCACTTTCACTTGGGAGTTGAATTTTGTTCATTTTACTTTCGCAACGGTTTTTAATCAAGAAGATTACAGTTATTTTTATTCATAATATGATGACTTTAAAAATATTAATGATTTTAGAAGAATAAAAATTGATTTTCTTGCCCGTTCTTCTCCATTCGAATGTGTATTTTGAAACGAGTACCTAGCTTCACAGACGAACAGACTGACGGACTAGGTGTAACCTGTTTATGGTTTAGTTGGAGTAAATGATTTTGACTTTAACTTTGACTATATGTTGGAAATAACTTTATCTGTACTTATCTATAATCTTATACTTCACAAAATAGACAATACATGACTCCTCTCTTATGCCAATTAAGACTGTTCAAGTTCGCGTCAAATTAGCGATTCGTGTGGTTTACGCTTTTAAGTAGACATGAGATTGGCATTAATAGTTTAGTAGAGGGGTTTAAGACATTGAGTGTTAAAGCTTAGAGTTCCTCAGTTAATTTAACTGTATAATAGTTAGTAAGGCTTGCTTTGCTTTGCTTGAAGTTAAGTCGTCTGCTTCTCATGCATGCGGGTTCGAAACCTGTCAAGTAACAACGTGACTTTTTCCGATTTATTCATATTTAAACACCACTGGTATAAAGTGAAGGGAAACATCGTGAGGAAACATATACTTTATAATTTCTAATTATACCTTTGTAATCGCCAATCCTCCTTGAGGAATCGTGTTAATTAAAGATCAAACCTGCTTCCTGTAAGAAGAGGCCTTTGCTCAGCAGTGGACAATTATAGGCTGACTAGCTACTCAGGCGCGGTTTCACCCGCTGCTCAGCTTCATTTGATCGTAGCGTAATGTTTTATAGCCTATAGCACTCAGGAACCTTGTAGCTATCTATCACTGAAAGAATTTTTGCAATCCGGCCAGCGGTTCCAAAGATTACCCCCCTACATACAAACTTACAAATTTTACCTTATTTATATAATATTAGTATGGATGATGTGATATAAAGGTTCTTAGTACTTATTAGATCATTTAACTTATTCATAAGTTCTTGCGTAGATTTATATGTCATATGATGCCATAATAAAAGCTATTGACTCATGTTATCATTACTAATATTTATAGAATATTTCGCCATCACGCGACTCGATTCTCGTTTGAAGAGCACTTCATATGAACAGGTCTACTATCTCTAGTGGTTGGGCAATACTATAAATAGTGATAGTGAATATATGCACTTTTAATGTACTTTCATGGACATATATGTCGATGGTATCAACTGAATGTTTTTAAAAACGGTCGTATTACTCAATTTTTACATAGGTACAACAACCTTACTCATACGGCGAAACATAACGCTCTGGTTGATTAATTCTTTGAGGCCCCGATATACCTCTTACTCCGCACTTATAATTAGAACATTAAGGAACAAATTCAATTAGACCAATAAGGTACTTTTGAAAGTAGAAAGAAACAAAATCGCTACATTTTACTACACAACGGATTTTGGTGCAGTATTTCTTAAAAGAGTGTTTTGATTGATGAGTAAGGATATCATCTATTGAATAGTGGATAAATTTGGCATGCATTTGGCGGGTCGCTAGTATTTAATAAAAAAAAGCCTTTCACCACGAAAATCTAGTCTCTATAGAAGAAGAATAAGTAAAAAATGCCTCAGACATTTTGAAGGTCTGTCATAGTTTCTGGAATTAATATAATATATATCATGTGTATCACAAAGTAAATTTAAAGATTAACAGTTTAATATAGTAAATATTAGCTGACCTTACAAGATTAGAGAGCCTGCTAGACTGATTTTAATCTCCTAATTAGGGCCAAGGTAGCTGATTACTTTTTCTGTGAAAGATATCGGGTCTTGTACACGGCTCATGTTTACAGGAAAATGTCAGGAGTTTGAGGAAACATGGGAACTTGCCTCATAAGTGATTGAAGAGTTGGTTCAGGTAGGTACCATGTTGTTATATTAACCACGGTATTCTGGTGCCACATGATGTGTTTGTAAGGACCGATAATACCACGGACATGTTAGTGCAAAGTTTTTGAAATTACGGACAATTTTATGCTGTGTATTAAATTGGTAGTTGTTGATCGTATTAAGCAATTTAGATTAGAAAGGTCACTCTTAGCTCTTTTGGACTTATGCCATGTTAAGCTAAAGTGAAATGTGAGTAAAAAAGAGCAAAAGAGTCTTTAGTTAGTAGGAGTTATACCTAATATTTATAAAACCTATCAAAACGTATATTTACATGAAACATTTTCAAGCAAAAATATACTGTCTGCTCAGAATTGCGGCAGTCTTATATGTAATGTATAATTTTACAGGAAAAATCTAGTTTTGCGTTATAATTGTCATAATTAAATAAAGTAACTTTTAACGATGGCACGTACACACATATTTGCTACCTACTTTGTTGCGATAATGTCAAAAATTTTAAGATAGAAAATTCTTATAGGTACCTAGAACATATTTTGTTTTAAGAGTGGCGTAACTACAATGGTTTTTGCTTTCCCAGATTAAAAAAATCTAAATTTGTTTATGCAGACCACGAGACAGTGATAAATAATTTTTGGAAGTTAATGTTCTTTTTCCGATATTAGAGGGGGTACATTCTAAAAGAAAATAGATCTTTCTCTTTAAGTAAGTCAGTAATAGAAAGGACCTTAAACGATGATAATATTTTCAATAATTCCTAATAACTTCACACCATTAACCGCTTCCTGTTATCAGCTACAAACAACAACCATCTCTGAGCGATAGCCGATTGCCCTAATTAAATTATCTGTTACAAACATTAAATAATTAATTATATATTGTCCCACATTCTAGGCTATCTTTTGATTGCTTATTGCTGACCTGGTCTAGTATTTAATTTACCTAGGAACTATTTTAGATGAAGCGGCCATCTTAGTTTTTATCTTAGAGTTGCATTTTAAAAGATTTCACACAAAAAACTAGTTTATTCACAACTGTAATGTAGGATAAGTTGATAAGTTTCCAATTAGTCAATTTTAATACTTTTTCTAAATTCTATATGTTGAACAGCACTTTTTGACGTCATAATTTTTTTAAGAGGCTAACTTCTCATTGGCTACATAAAAGTTACCTGGGAAATAATTATGTTGCTATCGTGTCAGAATGTTTGTATAAGACAGTGACAGCAACAATTATTTAGATAAAGAGCGACTATTTTTGAGTGCTTTATTGCTTTTTTAATTTTTTTTTTGACTGAAGAAACTATTCAATTGATCAAGTAGATAGTAAAAACTGTATGTTTAAAAGCATTAAAGTATTCATATGACAAAATTGATCGAATAAATGATAAAAAAATACCTTTGAAAGCGAGAAGATGAGTTGTGAATAACAAAGGACACGTGTTGACTGTCAGCGTCCTCGCACGGGTTCACCCCCCGGGCCGACACACGTATTACATTGGCATGATATAATATGTACATGTATCGGCCGTTCCCAATGATGGTCAATTATTGGACATATTATTGTGTGGATAATGATGATGATGCGTAGTCTGTTATTGCGTAATTCTAACAAGTCAAATTATGTTAACTGTAGCTCCATCGTTAGTTCAGCCGGGGAAGGGGTGTAGGCAAAATGTGGCTCCGCGGCCTCGGCCTAAAGCAGGAGAAGGAACAGGGGGTTTTTAGTCAGCAAGAGTATAACACTTTTTCTCGCCTAACCCTGGGCGGGAGAAGTCATTTGATGATCTTTGCTTGCTCGTTCTTTTCTGTGCGTATCTAAAGTTTGAATTGAACTAATAACTTCACCAAAGAATAACCTACCTAAACGAACCTTTTCGTAATAATTTCAGCTTGTCTTGTCTTTTAAGACATTCATTTCTCCCTTGTATTAAATATAGAATAGTAAGTAGTTATGGGTAGATAATTCTATTTTTCGGTACTAGTCAGTAAAACATCACGAGGATAAAAAAAAATTGGCCTAGAAGTTTGTTATAGTTTCAAAAATGCTACTTTAATTCATTCCATCCATTCAATAATAATCTTTACGAATAACATATTATAAATTTAGTAATACACACATGAAAACCGTGCCGTGATACTTTTGCTAATACCTATGCTTTTATTATAATGTCTCAAGTCCTTAATTACTTGTAAACTTGGCAACTAAGCTCTGGGTCGTTGACTTCAACCTCTCTTTACATTATCCAAAATTAGCAACAGTAACTATGCTGTGAGTATAAGATAGGCTTTTGTTTTACCAAGGGACTACCATAACTGGTTGAAAGTGGATGTATCCACGTAAATACCTTCCCTTGGGTCAGTTCATTAGACGCTTGTTGTCCGGGCGTTCATTGAATCTAAATAGCTTATCGGTATCGGACCGCTCTCAGCTTTCGCTAATTAATTACTCTAAGCCGGTGATTACACCGCCAACTGAAATAGCTGAACAATAATAATTAGTGTTTGGTTTACGTAACTTTTGTATTATTTTATCCGAATAAGTTTTTTTTTGGATTTGGCGTTTGAAGAAGGAATTCTTTGTAATAGTTTTTGGAGTTCGGAATTCATTTTAAAGTAACAATTGTAAACGCTTCAATGATGATAATATCATGATGGACCGGTGATGTACTTATTATTAAAAAGGTCACACAATATTTGTATTGGTGACTAAAACGCGATAAGTTTTGATAGCTCGTAGATATAATGCGGGCGCCGCCTGTCATGTCGCCGCTTTTGGGCGGTAATTGTACATATATTTAGGTCTCATTAAGTACGCACGGTGAATTATAAGTATCGTTTTAGGTCCACGACATATAAGTAGGCCTCTTATTGATCAGACATACATGTCAGCGAATGAGAATTACGAATTTATGTTAATTTTACTAGGAACATTATCTTTGATTGTGCCTATTCTAATTATGAGCCCCTTTGTGAGTATGATGTTTCGTTAATGTGTAACTAACCCATATCTCTCTTTTTGCAGGCCTTCAAATTGTTCAAGCGGAACAAGAGCCGTAAAAACACACGGAACCGCATATCCCCGGAGCTGTCCCGGTCCCCGTCGTACAGCGGCACGGTGGACGCGCGCGCAGACATCGACATCCAGCGCTTCTGTGCGTGCCGGGCCTCCCTCCCCCCGCTGCACATCTCCAGCGAGTCTTACGAGAACTCCTACTACAGCAGCTACAACAGTTACAACAGCTCGAGGATCGACAGTCTAGAGAGCTATGGAACGAATGAATCCAACAGCGGCAGTGCTCGGTCAGATTCGGCGTACGACTCGGCCAGGTCCAGCCCCGAGCACGCCAGGGTGTGCTACGCCACCGTCACCTACTTCAACGTGAATGACAGCGAGGATAGTAGCAGCATCCGCACGGAATACACACTCCTCGATGATACAGAGGCTGACCGCCTGGCTGAGCTGGATGACATGGAACACCTGGACGAGGACGAGCGGACGCAGAATATGATCAACGAGAGCATCGAGCTTGTCAGCACGTTATGAAGTGAGCGCGAAGGACTCTGGCTTACAATATAATTTGAGTTTAGTTTGGCTCGCTCTGGTAGCGTTCTGTTCCAGATTTGGAAGCGTGTGTGATACTCGGTGCGTGATCGATGTAGCGAAATTATTCAGTTTTGATAAGCGAACGATGAATTGATATGTACTCGTATTTAGGGACTTCCTTCGAGTGTATACCTATACTATGTATTTATATAGTGATCTGGCAACTCTAAGCTATGATGTAGTAGAACATAAGGATTATTGATAAGCCTTTTTATGAATTTCCACCGACTTTTACTCTGAAAGTATATTCTTCTTGAAGTAACCAATTGATTGACGTAATTGGCTTTTACTAAAGGTCTTCATTAGTGGTCGCTCTGCGGGGCAGTCATTTTCCACAAGATGTTTTCATTGAAATGTTTCCTTAAAGCACTTTACAGTTATAATAAAATGTTTTGAAGCGAAAAATGATGAAGTACTGCAAGACTTTTCTATTTTGTAAAATTAAATTATTTTTGTTGTCAGGAGAGCTCTTAATATAAGGAAGATAATGATTTCCCTTTATGAATTTATTTGATGTTACCTGTCAAGGCTGTATGTTCAGTATTGTTATTGAATTTGTTTGCCTCCATTTTGTATAACGTCTCAGAACCCCAGAAATGCGAAGTCAATCTTTTGTGTAATATCCTTCGATTCAAAAGTCACTTTTACAAAAAGAAATATTTAATGAAGTACTTGCAGTTATTATTTTGTTTCGACTCTCTTTGACTTGACCTTGTCATGATTTGAATTAGTTTATAATTATAGTTATCAGATCGAGCTGTATTCTGTAGATTTAATTTACCAGTACCGCAGTAGAGATCGGTGGAAACCACAGGATCGTAATACATTTTTCATTAGTTCAAATTTTGGTAGTACTAATACAAACTATATAATAATGGAATACTCACTTTGATAAGTTTCAGTTACTGTTTTGTAAATATATATATAGTTTAATATTACATAATATACATAGGGTTCGATGTTTATCTCTATAAATTGGTTGGAGTAAATATTTATCGCGAAATCGAACGAACTATTCATGACTTTTGATTTTAGTTGTGTTTCAGTTTATACAAAATTATTTGTATTTGAAATTATTCTCGATTTCATTTTGATTTTGACGTCTAAACAAGCTCCAAACATTAATGAGCTGTTTATAGACATACATAGAGTATATTTTGGTTTACAAAAAAGTTTTCGAATCGAAATTATTAAGTGTGTTTGTTTACCGAATATCTGTTAACAGACTCCAGATTTATATTATACTTAGCTCATTATAGGCCTGTCCCTATGTTTTATCATCGCAAAAATAACTGTATTGTCACTTGCACAAGGGTGATTCTCAAAAAGCATTTATTTAACGAATGATATCCTTTTTGACTGTTACAAATATGGTTATATTTGTAATTTATTATAATATAGATATATGTCTTTGATTTGATTGAAATTGTCTGTAAGCAGTGACATATTTTAATTGTTCAAAATCATAATTTGTGTTTGAATCAGCAATAATTGTTAACTTTTTTTTGGAGGGGGTAAAATCGTCAATCTACTTTTCCCGTCCTGTGTACAACGAAAAGGAGTATCATACTCTTACTGACTAAAAACCACTTCGCACCTTCTGCTCTAGCCAGGGTGGCGGGGTAAGCGCAATGTGTCACCGCGGCCTCGGCCCAGAGCAGGAGAAGGAACGGGGGGTTTTAGTCAGTAACACCCGGTTTCCGAAAGGCCGATCAATGTTAAAATCAATTTAATCTCTTGTCAAGTCATCTGATTGGTTGACTGAATTATCAGGAGATAAGATTTAACAGGAGATTAGTTACTTTTAGCGTTGACAAGCCTTTCAGAAACCGGGTTTAAGAGTCTGACACTAGACCTGGGACGCGTTTTATTATTGCGCTTACAACCCCAGAAAATTGTTAACAATAATATAAGAACAGTGATGTAGTATATTTTGTTGAATTATTACGAAGAATCACCCACAAATCGGACATATATATGTTTACCAAAGTAAATGTGATACTATAAGTTTATGTAATACGTTTAAGATATTAAAATTGTATAGTTATATGTCTGTTGATCTCAATGGTGTAAATTTTAATAGTAATATTGCGTCATAGGTGGCGTTGCCATGCATTAGCGATTAAAATCAGTGGCAACTAGTTTTTTTCGAAGTGCCGTGACGCACGGAGTTGTGTATCCAGCAACATACTCGTAAATTACGTTTAATAAAATTTAAAGTTTTTAATAATGGCATTTTTCTTTGATTTCTCGTTCTTTTATTAATGTAATGGTTTTTGCTGGAGATTATTAGGAGGCTTTTGAGCTTATGAAAATAGTTCAACGCGAGTATATCTTTTAATGGATTCGTGTATCCCTATTTGAATATTATGTTGCATTATTCATCGCGTGATTGTTTGTACAACTTTTGACCGTAACGTCTCAGGGTTCGATCCCCAGAATAAACGAAGAATAAAGGAATAACTAATAAACGAAGTATGACGTATTAGATTTACATGTATAGTAGGTTCCAGCCCAATGTAACTGCTAAATTAATCTGACTCATAAAAGCCAAAATAACACATATTTATTTAATAGTAACTATCATGAGACATTTAAATTATTGAAGATGAGAAAAGCTCTACTAGTTTCAAGTCAGCACGGGACTCTTATTTATGAGCAGCGTGCGCGGCGCGGTGACGCTCGACTTCTAGCAGAGCATTTCTCAGTTAACTCACGTAAATCGTAACATTCATAATAAAATAAATTATCTTTAAAATTTTCAGAAATATTTAAATCATAATGACATACACTCAACACTAGACATAAACATTACAATTTCCTTAAAGCAATTTCTGAATATAAACAAAAGAACGACGAAACAATGAAATTGATAATCTCATAGCTAGCGGTCACTGACCTTCATGACGTCACAATACATGTGCCTTGCACCGACACGCCCCAAATAATAAGAGCATCCTAGAACGACCTACATTCACCCAGTCAGCCTTATAACCTAGATTTAACAGGTACGTCCTACTTTGCACCTTGAATTTAATTTCGAAGCGAATACCTACTTACAATTGGATTGGAATCTAGGCAACTGGATATGTCATCTTTATTGGAGATATGAAAGTTTTTAAAAGGAGACGGTAGACCTTTTTGTGATCCTTAAATGTCAACTGAGGTTAGACTTATCTACATTTTTGCTGGCCTCCTGTAAGTTATCAGGGATTTAAGGTTTGAGGATGGGGCAGGAGAGGAAGAATTGGACCTCCGGTGACCTCACTCACATGGCGAAGTACAATATAAGTGTTGCTTCACGGTGGTTTTCTGTGAGGCCGTGGTATCACTCCGGTCGAGCCGGCCCATTAGCATGATAAAATATTATCCTTTTTATTACTGAAGGGTTAGGTAGATTTATTATGCAATTTAACACATTTTGCACCAGTTATGGAGTCCCATATGAAAAGAATATCTTAATATACACGGGGTCACATTCATAGACTCCGTGCTACTATTGAGAAAGTTGACCTGTACTACACACATCATACAAGGAACATCTATTTTTGTGCTCTAAAATTTTTTGTTCCAGGGCTGGGTGCCATGTGAATCTGGAATTGTATGTTGATTAACGCACTAATTACATCTTATATGTTAAAAAAACAACTCTTTGTTAAAAACAAAGAAAGTCAACGTTTAAGGTACAGAGATTTTGGACTCCGGACTTGAACTACACATAGTCATTACTCCACTTTTGTATGGTGGTATAACATATATATACATACATGTTATACCATTCAAAATACAAGGTTTTAATACAAAACTCTTACTAGACAAACAAATAGTGCGAAATTCTGTCTATAGTATTAAATAATAATTAGGTACCTATGTATGTGGAAAACAGGTTTCTTCGTACACGTCAACACTTATATTGTGAAGACATCAGACAATGGCCATGCCGGTAGGGGGCGCTGAGGGACATAATAGGCCCTACTGGACCATAATAGGCCGAATAAACAGGTTCTAGAATTGCCCACTAATGGAAGTATTAAGTTACGCTCAGCGGAAGAGGAGCCTTTGTCACAGTAGTGTTTATTTGGTACATAATTGAATAGGTAAGTTTATGTATCTTACATATGGTAAAAGAAAAAGTATATGTTTCTTAGACAGTGGAATTTTAAGGAAAAAGTATTTTTTCGTTTAAAAAGTACGTTGCCACGCACTAAGATTTTCTCCTGTGTTGTGGATATGTTTACAAACATAAATTTTCACGTACACATACATCACACCCAGACCCGGAACAAGATTTTGTGAATCACACAAAGATTCCGTGTGGGATCGAACCCGCGCCTCGTTGCACGTAGCCAGTACGCCAACAGAGCAGTCAAATGCTGCGTATGCTTTTTCAATACTAACAATTTTATCAAGTTTACTTTAAGTTTGTTAATGAAACTAGCGACTCCACCCGACCTTTTACGGGCGCACTACTGGCATTAAATGACTCCAGTACTTAATGGGTATTATTATGCATGCATAAAAACCATCCTCTTCAATCACTGTCTATTGAAAAAGCCGCATCAAAATCTATTTCGTAGTTTTAAAAAAGTTTAAGCATACATAGGAATATAGGGATAGAAGAACGCGACTTTGTTTTATACTATGTAGATTAGTCCGGGGTTTTGAGGGTAAGCAAAATAGATAATGTATCGCGGCCTGGCTCGGAGTAGTCGGAGTAAGAGAAGGAACGGGCTGGTTCTTAGTCAGTAAGAGACTGATACTCCTTCTCACCCCACCCAAAGCGGGAGAAGTCTTCCAATGATTTCCCAAAGACTAGATAAAAACTAAAACCCAACTACGACAAAAAATGACGCTGAAAAAGTATAAAACAAGACTTTCAGAATACTGAAAGGCGTAGCACACGTTACAAATATCACCAGTGACCACCACATATACCTACCTACCGTAGCACTTTGAACTTTATACTTTTCTTTGTGATGCATAATAACAACAAAAGTTAAATTGATGAACTAATGATAAGTAATAGTTAATAATATTAAGTTAAGTATTAATGTAACAACTACTGATTGTCCAAATAAATCAATAAACAAAATAAATAAACAAAAATAGAAGCTATGAATGAAAAGATGTGCATTATATGCAATCAGCCCTTTAATACAGGTAAAGTCTTAGGCAAATGCTAGTAATATACATATATTAAATATATTCAAAATGTACAACAAAAGCGCTTTCAAATGATACCAAACACGGCATATTTATCTGAACTTTATTTTTTTACTCTGAATTTTTTGTCCGCCAAAGGACGCCGCAATAGATTTTGTGATACCCCATATAGCCTATAACCATCGGAATTAAGACGTTTCTAATGATATGACATTTGTCGAATTCTGATAAGTAGTTTAGAAGTTACGAGGGAACCGATTAACATACATAGTACGTACATAGCCTGTCAAAATCATAACCCT